GATGCCAGAGGAGGTCAAGACCTTCTGGAGGCAATGCCAGGAGCAACATGACCTTCCCAACGACCCCAACAGGTGCTCCATCCCAGTCCTCTCTCCCTCCCATGCCCTCGGGGCTGGAGCCACAGCTCCCAGCATGACCTGGGCTTTGCTGTGCACACAGGTTTGCAGTACAGACCATCAAGGCCTTGCTCTGCTGTCTACACTGGGAGAATGCGATGGTGGCAATGGAATGTAAGCGTGGCTGGGACACCCTCCTCCATCCTGACACCCACCACTATGCAGTGGGGATGCTGGCCAGGTGAGACACCCTTCTCCCTGCTGCCACCATCATCTCTCCCCTGGGCACAGGGCACCCTACACAGCCCCTGTGGTCATGGGCCAGAGAATCTTGGCACCAAGGAGTGGACGAGCAGTTAGGAAAAGGAAGCAAGAGGAGGGTGCACAGAAAGAGCCACCTCCCATAGAGCCAACGTCCCATCCAGGGATACTGAAGAAAGACCAGGCCTCTGGGCATCAGTCCTGGAAGAGCTTTGCTCACCCTGATCAGGGTCGATGGCTCTTTTTTTTTTCTTGACAGGGAGATGCACAGCATTTTCGTCCCCTTCTATTCCCCGATCACAACCCACCTGCTCAGGCTGCTCAGCAGAGAGGAGCCCCACTGGGAGCTGCCTGCCCTGGCCTTCCTTGTTGAGGTGAGCCTGATGGCAAGCGCTGCCTCGCCCACCTGCCTTCTCATCTCTGCCCTCTCACAGCTTCAGCTGCCCACGATGGTGCCTGCAACCTCTGCTGCTCCCTGGGCCCGGCCTTGGGCAGATCTAGGCTTTTGCAGCCCGGACACCTCATCACTGCTCTCTGCCTTCCAGCTCCTGGACTATGTGGAGGGGAGAAAATGCCATGAGAGCGTCCTGCCAATCCTATCAAGGCACCTGCAGGGCCACTGCCCTGAGAGCCGTCACCTGGCACTCAGAGGACTCCTGGTGATCAGTGTGGATCCCTCGATGGTGAGAAGGGGACACCCGGCTGAAGCCATACTGGCAGCCTGGGGCTGGGGAGCTCAGTCTCTTGGGCTTGGCTGGGCTTTGGGAGCTGTGGCAGCTGCTCCCAGCTCTCCTGCCTCCCTCTTCAGCTGCCTGGGCCTTGTGGGACAGGCCTTTTGGGCAGCAGCATGGGGTTGCACTGCCAGAGAGCTGGTGGTGGTGCAGCTGTTCAGGGCTTCACAGCACAGCACTGTCTTCCACACAGGCCGAAAGCATCTGCAGCCTGGCTGAGCACCTCGTGGAGCTGCTTCATGATGGAGACGGAGATGTGGTTGCCATGACCCTCTCTGTATTCCTGAACATGCTCCAGGACAAGGACATCGAAGCATTCAGCTCCACTGCCCCGAAGCTGGCTGAGGCGCTCCGGCCACTCTTTGATAACGTAAGGCTCTGGGTGCCTGGTGCTGCCTGGAAACTTTGTGCCCTGTGGGTTTTCAGGCCTGCGCCTGTGCCTTGCTGGGCCTGGAGCAGCCAGTGCTGAGGCCTTTTTCTCCTCTTTTGCACCAGGACAACACCCACGTGCAGCTGCTCTCCATTCGCCTCTTCCAAGAGGTGATGGAGTTGCTTGCAGAAGAGGGACCAAAGACCTTGAATATGCAGGTGTACCAGAGCCTGGTCCCCCTATTCTTCCATCTGCACGATGAGAACCAGTGCGTGGCAGAGGTGAGCACTTGTGGGCTCTGGTGTCCCTGTGGCAGGGGGCTTGGCCGTCTCCTGCCCTGGTGCCTCGCAGGCTCCAGCCTCCTCCTGGTCTTGGCCCAGAGACGCAGGTCCTGTGCCCTGGGCTGTGATGCCATGTCCCGCTCTCTGCTGCTCTGCAGGCCTCTCGGGAAACACTGCTTTGTGCTGCAAGTTTCCTCAAGAGGAGGGATCTCGAGCAGGTGCTGAGGAGACAGCAGCCCATCAAGTTCTGCGATTGCCTGGTAAGGACCACCCTCAAGGCCCAGCCCTAGGCTGGACAAGCCCCCAGCCCCCGATGCCCAGGGTGTGGGGTTGGCCCTGTGCCCCTGCCCACTGCTGCACCCACTTGTGGGACACCAGCCTGCACCCCAAATGCTCCTCCCTTCCCTCGGCCCTGCAGGCTCTTCTCCAGGCTCCTCTGCCCCCGAGCCAGGGGGCTGCTGGAGCCCTGGCCCAGCTGGGCCATGGGGCAGGGCAGCCCCATGGCTCCCCGGGAGCACGCACCCCCCTGCTCCCTCCAAAGCCCAGCACCACCAGGCCACAGGGCTCTGTGGGCAGGACAGGCCATTGCTGGGAAGAGGCAGTTCCTGGCCAAGGGGCAGAGCCTCAGCCAACCCTTCCCTCCGTGCCCTGCCGCTCTCTCCAGATGGACAAGGACGTCAGCCGAAGGGATGAGCACCTGCGCCAAGCCCTGCCATATCTGCAGAGCCCACAGCAGCCCCTGCGAGAGGTGGCCGTCAGGTTCATGGGTGAGCCACAAGCCCGTGGTCCCTTCCCACTCTGCTACAGCTCAGCCCCAGCCCCGGCTGCTGCAGCGGCAGCAGGATGCGGCCCAGGGATGTGCTGTGGAGTCCCGAGTGCCCTGGCGGCTGCTGCCACCCTCTGCCAGCCGCCCCCTTGGGTGTCTTGATGCGGGAAGGCCCTGAGCTCAGCTCTGCCAGGCCAGGAGGCCATGTGGCCAGGCTGGCAGCAGTGCTTGGGGGGAGCTGTGCCGCTGGGGCCCTGACAAGCTCTCTGTTCCCAGGGGTCGCCGCATGGCACATGCAAGACCTGCAGCCCGTCATGAAGGGTGAGTGAGGACAGCAGGGTGTCCCTGCAGGCTGGTTGGGAGGAGCACAGACTCTGGGCATGGAGCTGCAATCCCTGCCTCGCCTGCACAGGGCTTTGCTCCCTGCACGGACGAGGGGAGCTGTGGGCAGAGCAGACACATTTCAGGGGCACAGGGGGGATTGGGGGCCAGCACCTTCTTGCTCATCCTGATGGGCCATGCTCCCTCCTGGCCATGCCAAGAGCTGGCTCGGATAGCCCTGGCAGGAGGGGCTCCTCAGGTCCCCACAGATCTGGGCTCTGACTATGGCTCCCTTCCTCTCTCTTCCAGCCCTGGAAGTCATGATCGAAGACAACTGCTCCTCCTACTCCACCATGCAGAATGCAGTCTTGTCTGCTTTTCGACGGGCAGTAACTAAGTAATCTTCTCCTCCACCAAGACAACCAACGTGCCTGGAACAGCACCGGACAACAGCAAAGACACCACTTCTCAGCGGTGCTGGGCTGAACCCAACTGAGCCTGACGGCAAGGCCAGGCAGCTCCTGGCCTCTCCACCCCTATGTACAGCTCCCTCCCTATGTACAGCTCCCTCCCTGCCTATTCCCTTCTCCTGCCCACAGTTCATCCCTCCCAATCCCCTTAGGTTAAGAAGATTCATCCCTCCCCTTCCCCTTAGGTTAAGAAGTTTCATCCCTCCCCTTCCCCTTAGGTTAAGAAGGTTCATCCCTCCCCTTCCCCTTAGGTTAAGAAGGTTCATCCCTCCCCTTCCTCTTAGGTTAAGAAGGTTCATCCCTCCCCTTCCTCTTAGGTTAAGAAGGTTCATCCCTCCCCTTCCNAGGTTAAGAAGGTTCATCCCTCCCCTTCCTCTTAGGTTAAGAAGGTTCATCCCTCCCCTTCCTCTTAGGTTAAGAAGGTTCATCCCTCCCCTTCCCCTTAGGTTAATAAATATTCGCTTTTTCCCCCTTAGCTGCATCTTTGTGGAACTCAATCGGCACAAACCCTGAGCCCTGCAGCACACAGGCTCGCTCCTGCCTTTTTTTTGCCCCTTGCACCTTGGGCACAGACACAGAGGCACAAGGGCAGTTCAGGCTGCAAAGATCCCTGTCCTCAAGGTTCAGTTCCACAACATTAAGTGGAGTTAGAGATCTTGCTGGACACACTCAAGGCCGGTGAATTAAAAGGCCTTTACCCACACCCTTAGCACATCTTCTCTATCTGGGCTTTTTCATTCATGGCAATATCAGTTTAGATCAGTCTAATTAAAAAAACTCACTCATTTCCCACCATCTCACAGGGACAAAGTTCATAAAACACGTGTCTAGCCAACAAGGGTTAGAAACTTTTCCCTCACCAAAGACCAGATGACTATTTCAGGCCACAGACTGCATCAGCCCTAAAAATCAACACTGCAGGAAGGATGAAATGAAAGAAACAGCACATGAAATGAAAGAAATGTGCATGCATCCGCACTGGAGCATTATTAGGACTGATATTTTAGTCATGCAAATAAGACTACCACCTCTGCAGCAGAGCAGTCCAATCCCACATGTAGCCAGTCTGGGGCAAAGAAAAGCTTGATACTTTAGCATCTACTAGATGACACAGCAACACTTGTCACGAGTTTGCCTGCCTCCGTCTCGGGCAATGAAATGGGAGTTTCTGCCTAATTTCTCTTCCTGCCCGCAGGACATTGAATTAAAAACTTACCCACAACAGATCCTGGCTCAAAGTAGTTAGCTCAGCCACGTCACTGAAAGATGGATATTCATTTGGGTACTCACTAAGTCATAATAAGGCCAGGTTGTCCTCTCTCAGCATCTTGTTTGCTGTATGGAAATAGCCAGTCTGTTGAGCTGCTGCTGTAGCACCTCTGAGCATCTATAATTCATATATGTACCCTCCAAATGTTGAAAAATATGCCAGAACTCAAGTCCTACATTCTTTGTTTTGCCTATCTGCATTTCCATGGCATCAGCCAGGTCTGCTGTACCCTCCTGGACCCCGCAGGTGTCAGGGACTCAGCACCACCCACCTATGCTCATTTGGATTTTTGAGTATTTTCTTCAACTACAAAAATGCTCTTTCCTGGTCTCAGATATGCACTGTATGGCATTTGGAATAAATATCTGCAGCTGCCTTTTTGATTTTTTTCCCTCTTCTCCTTTTCCTGGTAACATTATGTTCTCCCAGGGAGGAAAAACATTAGCTTGTTGCTTGGGATGATTCAATTACTCAGCAGTAGGTCAGAGAAAAAAACAAACATTGGATTCTTCGTCTTGCATCCTCTAAGCAAAATCCTTGCTGGAGCACAGATGAACTGGAATTTCAGAGAGCATCTTAGGACCAGTAGTCCAAAACTACTGAAATAGTTTCTTTAAAATGCTTTGTTAAAAAAGGATTTATCTACAACCAGTAGCTAAACATTCATCTTCTTAAAAATATCTGGATTCATTACTTATTATCAGGTCTAAATATTTTTCCCATTACTTGGAAAGAGGTGTGAAATTCAGCTAACACGTAGAAACCCTGAGTTCCATTAATAATGATGTCTGCTTTTGGAGAGTCCCATTCTTCTAGCAGATGTTTGGATAAACTAGAGCCAGATATAGACATCTCCCACAGTCTTCTTCAAGATTTTGTTCAAAGGAAGACTGTGCGTCAGCATTTGCTACCCCAGCTCTACACTTTCCCTAGATGTTGGCACACATGAAGCGTTACAAAAGCTGGCAAGAATTAATATTCACACAAGCATTCATGCAAGGAGTACTCATGCTGTCATCACAGCGATAGGAGATGACAAAGGGGAGGTCCCAAACAAGGGACAAAATAATGCCCAGGCAATCAGTCAGACTAGATAAATAATGAAGAAATGCACTTCTGAGAAGCTTGAAAACAGTGCATAGCAAGGACACGAAGCTGCACTGCGAGCAAGAATGAGGAATTGATGCAACAAAAAATTTAAGCTAAATTTTGGGGCAAAGCCAAGGGCACAGCTCAAGAAAGCCTTCATTCAGCTATTACCCGACCACAGAAACACTCAGACGTTCCTCTTTGGCACTTCTAAGGCACCGGCACTCAGCCTCAGTGCCCAGGCTTGCCAGGATTGAGCAACCCAGTGCCTCCTTCAGCTCTGCCAGAGCAGACTGAGCAGCAGAGCTCGTGTACCCAGCCAGGCAGAGCACCTGCCTTCCCAGCCTGTGGGCACAGCTGCCTGAGAGTGGTCACAAATAAAGCTGGGGCATTTTCAACAGCCTAGCACTCACAGTGTGCAGCCAAAGGTGTGAAGGGAACCTCCTCTTCACATCTTAGAGCCAGCATGACCCAGCCATTGTGCTGGTCCACTCCAGCTCCCTGCCCTGAAACACTTCTTCTCTGCTGCAGAAGCCAAGAGGGAGGTCCACTCAGCAAGGCACAGCTGGTGGAGACACAAAAGCAGGGCATCCCTCTGCCATGTTCCTCTGACTGTCTCTGTCATCCTTGGATGAGCTCCTTGGGATAGGGAATCCTGAAGGCTGCGATACAGCCAGGCCTGGGGCTTGGCTGAGGCATGAGAAGGTCACAGGGAAGGATGCAGTCACCAAAAAGCCTTTTTCTCAGGTGTGCCTCCAAAATGCACTGAGAATAGTCTGAGCAAAATCCCACCTGCCTGAAGTTCCCTCAGAGAAGGTGACTTCGTTGTTCTTATAAGCTCCTGGACCATTACAGGTAACATCACCTCAAAATATCTGTCACTGTTGTCTGAGCTGTAGTAGGTCTTTCCCAAAGTGCTCTTTTCCTGGTTTATGGAGCCCAAGCGATTATGAAACTGTCACAGCTCCAAGTTGAGATCTTCTCCTGTTTTGGCAGGAACAACCCATCCCTTTCCAGAGCAAGGTGGGTTCCTGGTTGAGTTCTCTGCTTGCTTTGTCTTGGTTTTAAGGTGTGCAAATCAGAAAGGCTGTGTTGTAGGGTGTGCAATCAACATGGCTCTGTTGGCTTACATCCAGGGCAGGAGCAACAGTGCAGTCCCTGAACTGACTTGCATATTTACTTTTATGATAAACCTAATCTAAGTTATCTGGGAGTTCCCAGATGGCAGACACTTCCCAGTTTTTTATCAGAGCTGGATGTGGGCATGTGCCAGCCCTTCCCTCCCTTTACCAACACACTCTGCTTCCACAGAAAAATATGCCAGTGCATATGACAAAAGCTGCAAGAGAGAACGAGTGTGGACAAGTGGCCCAAGACCTTGGAGCAATGAAAGAGTCAGAGTATGTGCAGACTCAGACACCTCTCAGAGGGTGGGACACACAAACTACTGTCCGTGACAAGATGACTCTTGAACTATTTTTCTTAATTTTCTGTGTGGGGCCTGGATCAAATACCCCTCAGAACAACATAAATGTTTTTTGAGATCTCAGTGGAAACTCAGTCAACTTCAGTAAACTTTGTCAATAACAGAAATAGAGAGATCATCACAGAGCTAATATATTTTATGAAGATTCTAATTTCTACTTCCTTAGTTTTAGTTTTTGAGGAGTGTTTTCTTAGAAACATACTTGTCTTTTCATGTTTCCTCTACTCAAGAATCACAGCAGAGAAATGATACATTTAAATTTGACAACTTTGGTGGCTTATTTTCCTGTTGTCACATCTTAAATCAAAAGGGAGAAGAACGCAAAGAACAAGATTGCCTGAGAACTGAGATAAACCTCCTCCTCTGGTTCACTGTGTGCCTGGTAGGATTTGCAGATATAGACTATCTAATCACATAAACAGAGTGGTGTTTACCCACAAGAACACCATGGAGAACAACAGTGAGCAACACTTTGCTACGGACTTATCAGCTTAGTAGGATTGGTTCAAAAAAGGTTTGGTATATTTTGGTTTTCTAGCCTACAGCTTTTCAAATATCTGTTGTTTGGGATGAAATTTTATTTACTGTGTACCCATTTTAGGCTGAATATCTGACGAGTTAGTCTGGATTTCAGAAATCTGTCAGAAATGAATTTATCTCTTTCCAACAAAAAGGCTAAGGGGGAGGACACCTTGTTTTGCCCATGCAAACCCCAAAATTTCCTTTTTCATGTCGTTTAGGAACAAGATGTGGAACTAAGAAGTGAAGTAAATCCTGGGTCATGAACATGAGTTTTCCCAGGCCCATGAACACCTGTCCAGATTAGTTGGTTCACAAGTTATCTCCTGACTTTGCTGCTGCTGCTTGAAGAGGGACAAAGACCCTGCAGGAGGAAAGGGAATTTCAGCCTAAATTAAGCTCTTAGATTCACAAATTAACCACAGAGTAGCCTAGGTTATTAAGGGAAAATCAGCAAGAATAGGGACGCTAGGATGACCTTGCAGTGTAATGCCAGTGAAATCTTGTCCTGCCTCTTAGTGGGTTTCTTGCTTCCCCGGAGAAAACTTCAAGGTCATTGGCCTTTTCCCAGTACTGCTCTTTGCTTACTCTAATTGCTTCCTAATCCCTAATTGAAGCTGCAGACATGCTGGTTGGATGAAACCTAAGTTCCTGGAAAAAAAAAAAAAAAGACACAAATTGGCAGGAGGTTCTATGGGCATCTGGAAAAAATGAAGGACATTAAAAACTTGAAACTTCTGCGATCTCAATACGTTCGGGAGCTATTTCTGTTCAAAATGAGACATGGTAGAGAGCTGGGGAAATGTTATTACAGTGGGCAGAGGGGAGAATCTGAATGAATTGCGAAGCACTCATGGTGAGCTCTTGCCCTCACCTAAAGCAGCTCTGGGAGGTTTGAGGTGCCCAAAAAGCAAAGAGAC